TGAGTTGTGATCACCATATTACCTCTTTGTCTATTCTGTTGTCTATTGTTTGCTCGTCGTCTCGCTCTAGCTGACAGTGAATCGAATATGTCTGGCTCGTCAACTCCATCCCCCCGTCTCTCCGCCTCCATAGTTTCCGTTCTGAACCTCATTTCGTGGCCTATATTTACGCCGTCTGCCACATAATCTACGTCTTCTTGTTCTTTCGTCTTCAGATATCTATCAAAAATAAAGAAAATTATTATATGTTTTTTCAAACTAACCTCAATACACAAAAGCGTAGGTACCTATGTTGCAGTAATATTATCCAGAGATTAACAAAAAAAGCACAGTTACAGATAGGTTGGGTCTTCCCATCGTGTTAATCATTTAAAATAGAGTAAAGTCTATTTAACCATTGCAATCATTTAGCCACCCACCTAAGAAGGTGACTGTTAGAACCCTAATCAATTCATCTTCAGTGTCTGCAACACCAAGAACGGTCTTTACAGGGTACTGGGATCATCAGAAGGAATCTTCGATAGAATGGAAACTTCCAGAATCTGGTAGTCAGGCCAGATAAAGGTAAGAACTCAATGACTATCAGGTAGGATGAGAAGAATTGGATCTAAGTATAAGCTAAAGGCACAGCCCCAACATAGCCTCACTAGAACCAAACCACCTAACGTTGATAACGACTTCACAAACTGCGTTCGCTGGATACCATGTGAATGTGGAAAATTCTACTTCTGAGAAAGACTGTGAATGGTGAGCTTGAAAGACATCTACTGAGGAGAAAATAAAAGGTTGAGACATGTCTGGACCTATCAAAATAACATTGAGTGGCGACTTCATTGATTCCAGTGGCGCATTTGCTTTTTCAGCTGCAGGAAATCCCGGAAAAACCTGCAGCACCACATCATCTGAAGATCTTGACCTACCAATGTCCTCTCTTTTATAAAACAAATGTAGGGTGTCTCTACAGGCTCCAATAGATTCAATGCATCGCCAGAACACTTCGTGACATAATTCATTGAGAGGAACATTGGCTCAGAAGGAAATTTTGAAAGGCTATATAGGGGCTTTCATGAAGCGCCCCCTATCTTTGAATTTAAATAAAATGAAGTGTGTATCAGATATTATCGAAATTTCTCATTCATTTGAAAGACCTATTGATGCCATCATGTGTAGAATATAAAATCATTCAAATATCCGCCACGTTTTCTCTGGGTGGAACGCATATCAAACGTCCAATTTTCCATGACTTTGGCGCATAAATCAGGGTGAATTTGACCTATCCCATGGGTTATGTTGGCTTTGAAGACCGCTGTAGTTTGTGGCTCATTTGCATACACCTGCGACTCAAGGAACCCAACAAGAAAAAGTCTAGCGTGAGATGATCATGCCCTCGAGTCGCTCGTGCAGAATATCAAATGTGGCATATACAAGGTGTAACATAAGTACGTTAAAATATTCAAGTGACGTAGTCCTGAGACAATTCAAAGAAAAAAAGTCTATATGAACTTGTGTCCGAAAATACTTCATTTCGGAAATACGGGAGTGTTGAAATTGAATTCTCTCGTTCGCTTTTTGGAAATAACTCTTGCAAAAAATAAGTTATTTGCACGAAATTCGGTACCCGGGGATTTTTTGCCCTAACTTTTTTGACAGTAAACTTTTGGTACTAAAACGGGAAAATGTTGAGGGATCGCATCATAGCTTGCTGCGAAACGATAAGAAACACTCCGGGCATTTTTCAACGGGTGCGGAATTCTTTGATGAAGAGAGCAGAAGCTTATAACTTGAACAGTTGTTGTAATATACGTTTCGTTCAATTTTTATATGTTTATTTTCCTAAGAAATAACATAGTGCTTCCCCGAATTGTTTTTTTTTACAAACTCCGAAATGTAGCACTTTCTGATTGAATAATTGAACCTGACAAATTTTTTAAATTTGGATTGAATAAGCAGTTCGATAATGCTCAGTTTAGAAGAAGTCTGTATGGGTATACTGCGTATAAAGTTTGATATAAATAACTAAAATTGCAAAAAACTTATGACAAGAACCTACCATGTTTTGAAAAATTTCAACAATCTGTATTTCGAAAAGGAATCATTCTTCGTTGAACATTTTATAGGAAAACGTTGTTTATTTTGACGAGATCCACCACATACTTAGTTTTTGTAATGTTCTCAGCAACTTCACTTAGCGCCCTAGGAGCTAAGTAATATGCATCGATATAGAAAATTGTAAATTTCTTGAAAACTATCACCTCCAGCGTAATTGAGGAGGTGTATCTTTTTGGTTTGGAAAAGGTGTGGGAATTAGGTTTTTTCATGAAGAGTACCAAAAGTTTACTGTCAAAAAAGTTAGGGCAAAAAATCCCCGGGTACCGAATTTCGTGCAAATAACTTATTTTTTGCAAGAGTTACTTTCAAAAAGCGAACAAAAAAATTAAATTTCAACACCCCGTATCTCCGAAACGAAGTATTTTCGGACACAAGTTCATATAGACTTTTTTTCTCAAAATTGTCTCAGGAATACGTCACTTGAATATTTTAACGTACTAATGTTACACCCTGTTTATTTATCATACTCTGCTCACCTCTGTGAACTCTCCTTCTGGAAATTCTGATCTGGTGCTTCTTCAGGAAGCTCGTCGTCCTTAATTTCTTCGTGTTCTGTAGTTCGTTCTGTTTCGGTGACAATTTTACCATCTGGCCGTACAGAACTGAGTTCCCTGGTGTCCTCTGTGTCAGTTACTTTGTTAGTTTTTCTAGATTCATGGATCAGTTTGGGTCCAGTAGAGACTATCTGTTGACCTGCCTCGTTGGATCTGAGAACTTTACGTAGGTCTTTTTCTCCGCTCCGGACTGCAGACAAGAACTCCTGAAAAAAAATCCGGTTCAGCATAGATCATAACATAGATTCACAAATATGTGCAATAGAAAATTGTAACAAAAATTGTTGGAAAATTAAAACATGACTATGGAAACGGTGTAAAAAGAACTCAAGTTTCTTTGTTCATTTGATTTTAGTAGTGAGGACTTCATATTTGAGAACTGATGAAAAGCCAAGAAAAGTTTTGGATCTTATTTTTTCGAATCATTGGTTGGCATTGGGATCATTGGATAGGTCAAATATTTCCTCAGACTACTGCTGATCGGATTTGATATATGGATTGTGAATAAGAAAAATCTGCATAATTATGGTTCCAAAAACCTTTTACAGAACCTGCAGTGTTTCAGAAGGAAAAAGTGGCTCAGCATTTTGGAAATGAACGAAAATAATCTCTATTTTCTGTGATGCATCAAGGTGTCACATTATTGATTGTGAAAACCAAACGCGCAAAAGCATGAAATAGCACCCAGCAACCTAGTCCAGGCCGAAAAAATCTAGAATGTTCAAGTTGAAGACCAACAAATGTCATTAGATATCGGATCTTCAAAACAACTTGAAACAAATCAATTTTTGTTTTCAGGAGGACACATTTCCACGTGTCAGTCTCTTGTTAAAACACCCATAAATTAAAATGTCAAAAATTTCAGATACAAATAATAGTCACACATTATTTGAAAGGTAATTCAACTCTACAACGTTTTTGCAGTGATAAGCAATCTCAAAAAAATAAAAGAAAGAAGATGAAATAAGATGAGATGAGAAGAGATGGGAAGAGATAGACGAGACGAGGCAAGACAAAAAATATAAGGCTAGACAAGGTAGGATAAGATGAGATTAAAGTCTGGAAGAAACAAGGTGGAAGTGAATAGAAACATATACTTATCAAATGTTGGAACTGAGCACCATCAATTTGCATACAATGGTATATTCTTTCCTTACATTCTGAAAAACATCAGATTTTTGTACAACCATGTCGACTGTCCTTATACAACTAGTTGTCAGACATTGTAATAAAGTATTATATTTTCAGTATTATTAGCCTGCGGCATTTGGTAATTTCTTTTGATATCAACCAAGTCGGGAGATCTGGGTGGCCATTCTACATAACCTCTATTTCAATCCAATCCAATCCATCAATTCAATTTCTGTTATTATAAAGGAACCATCATTCTGGTACCACGCAATGAGAAGGTGCCCCATCTTGTTGAGAATAACCCCATTTTGCAATGGAAGATATAACTGAAAGGCGTTGTTATAACTTGATATAACTTTATTATTCAAAAAAATGAAATAGCCTGCATCATTTGGGTTTGCTTCCAAAAAGATTCGTTCCATGAAACGATTACTCAAAATTTCTACCAAAAATACAGTTTTTCGGTTCATTGAGTGAAAATCTGTAGTGCCAAATTGAGATTTGAATTTACTCCAGTATCGGGAATTAAGACAATTTACCATTAAGTTGAAAGCTACATTACTGCCATTTTTAATTCTAGACATGATTTTGTGTTGTTTTTTGCTAAATTATCATCTGTGATATATAACATATTTCAGTTTTCACTGACGTATGATGTACAGTGTGACCCATTTTTAATGGAAACACCCCCCTAACATTTGAAGTTGTAAATCGATTTTAATATTTTTTTTTAAACGTCAAGTACTGAAAGGTCTATCTTGGGACAAAATTTGAAATGTTTATTAAAGTTTCAGGGCATACTACAATATTTTTTCTTAGTCGAAAATCGAGATTTTTTATTAGCGATTTTTTTATTGAAAAAAATCAAAATTTATATAATAATTCCAATACATATTTGTCTGCTTGATGCCCTCGACAGAAGAAAAGTAGATCTGTAAGCTTATGCAGATGACCTTGTCATCTTAGCAAGGTCCACGTCGGGAAGGGTAGCTTGTAATATCCTCCAAAACACGATGGACATTGCCTGAGAAGGCGGATGTCTCTCAACCGCAACAAAACTGTGATACTCCCCTTCACCAAGAGGAGAAAATTGGACGATCTAACGCCACTTTCCCTCAATGGTGAGGTCATTCCATTTGGAACGGAGGTGAAATATCTTAGCATTGTCCTTGATAAAAAACTCACCTGGAACACTCACTTGGAAAAAGTTTTACATGAAGCCAGACTGTACCTATGGACATTTCGAAGGGTTTGTGGGAAAACTTGGTCCCAAACAAATCTACTGGATTTATGTGATGATTGTCAGACCAATGATCACTTATAGTGCAATTGCCTGGTGGCCGAAGGCTTCACAAAAAACGTCCAGGCTTGTCTGGCCATCAGTGGTGCCATCAGTATCACATCGTCAGCAGTCATGGAGGACCTTCTACATCTTCTTCCTCTCCACATTTTTTTGGAGAGAGAGGCTAGCTGGACTGCATATAGACTTGTGCACATTGCCAATTGCACAAATTAATTTAATGCAGAGTGCAACAGACTGTTGGTTGACACTGGAAGTCACAGCATTCTGGAAATGACCTCTGACTTTATACCTCCAACTGTCAACTAAGAACTGCCTTATAAAGTACTATTCCCGATTAGATAGGACTGGATCCTCCGGGAGAAGGAAATATTAAGAGCAGATAGTTGTTGGTTCACAGATGGATTAAAAACACCTTCCGGTTCTGGTGCAGGTGTTTTCAGTCGCAGACCCAGGACAGAGATTTCACCCTGCCTGGCAACCTATGCGACTGTATTACAAGTGGAAATTTATGCTATTGAATTGTATGCGGAAAAATTGGATAAATCCAACCGCATATACAAGTCAATGAAAATATTCTCGGGCAGTCAAGCGGCATTAGAAGCTCTTGGCTCCTACCGAGCAACGTCTATATTGGTAGCAAATTGCCAAAAACGACTCTCCCAGATAGAAAGACTTAACATATTGTCTCTAATCTGGATTCCTGGCCATACTGACCTGGAAGGCAATGAGGCTGCTGACTCTCTTGCAAAGGAGGGTGCTGCAAGCAGCTTCATCGGACCAGAACCTGTCACTGGCATCGGTTCAGGCTTTTCCAAACAAAGATTGAACACCTGGATGGCAAGAAGATTTATGGACTTCTGGCAGAATGTTCCAGGATTGGCTCACTCCTGATGAAAATGATGAAACAGCAGAGCACATACTTTGTGCTTGCCCCACCTAGGACCGAATCAGGTTTTTACAGTTCGGCATAGCCGTGCTCTTATCATCTGACCTGAAAGACCACTCACCGTACAAACTAATCGGCTTCGTTAAGAAGCTGGGTTTATTTGGTCGAGTGTGAATGAGTGTGAGCCACAATAAACCCTTGCGGGTTGCGGTGGAGGTCGAGGAGAACCACTCACTTTGGACCTAACCTAACCTACATTTCTGTCCAGATGATTTTCATGGAAAATACGAATTTCTATGTTCTTAGTACAAAACCATTATTTCAATCTAGTCTTAGAATATATAAACCATTTTTATTCAACGAAACAGAATAAACTCTAGTCGAAGCAAAAATAAAAAACTCTAATAATAATGTCTTTCACATCGACATCAACCACTAGGTGATAGAATTCAGGACCACGAAATGTATACATTATTTGTGATTGTAGTATCGAAGACAATAAAAAATTATCATATTTTTCAATGGAAACATTAATTGTAATATATTCTTATGCACAGGTACAATATTTTTCAATTCTCCCCAAGTAGTTACAGTTTGATAAATAACAATGTCATCATTTACACACATTTTGAAAAGTAACGGACCAAAACGAATACTCTGGGGTACTCCTTAAAAAAAGTGGAAAAATATTCATTGAATTATTCATGTACACGAATTGCGTTCGTTTTATTTGAGAACCGAGAAATGCAAAAATTTGTTTGTTGTTTGAATAATTTACCAGAATCAATAAAATTTTCGAATTTTTTTACTTGCACTCCTTTATATAAGCAATATTCGTGATGAACATGTATATGCAATCCATAACAGGACTTTGTTTATTTTGCTATAACCTTTCTCTGTCGTCTACGTGAACGATGAATATTCATTGAAGCGATGGTCAGGCATTCTAATCAAATCGCAAGGCGATTCCATTAACATTAATATCGAGACCTTGAAAGGAGTACTTCTGAATCATGTGCATCGCTGTACTTTTACCGAAACGAAATAGTTTTGTTGCAGGGTGTGTAAACGGTATATGTTTGGTTATTTAGATTGAAAGAGAAAGTTCCCCCAGGGTAATATACTGGTCTAGTCCGTAAATGAACATGAATGTCTCAGAATTATTTTTGAATCTGAAATTCACGTGAAATTCAACTGAGCTACTATGATAATGTGTGAAAAATTGACGAAATAATGGATTATTACGCAAAAGTGAATAAACATCGTTTTGCGTGAATGATTGAATTTACTGGAGTATGTACCTAATACTAATACACAGAGCCGGATTTAGGGAGGCTACTGCCCTGAGGCCTCCACAGGAGAGGGGGCCTCCACAATAGAGATAAAAAATATCTATATTTTACGGGTGACAAACTTTAACGTTTTTCCTTCCAAACATTTCTTTCGTATTTTTAGTAAGAATACTTGCACACACCTAATAGCTAATAATGTTATTGATATATCAGAAAGCCCTGATTGCAAGTTTCCATTTACTATCCATTTTTGATTTGATCAAGCTTTTCAGTGGCAATAGTTTTTTAATGTGTAATCTTACTGAACGCGTCGATTTTCCCCATTTCCCTTTTTTTTAAATTTTCAATTTTCCTAGCGGAAAGTCAAAATGTTATAAAAACATTTTTGAAGGCACATTTTTAACATTTCAAACTTTTACGGGGAGAAGAGGTCAATCAAGAAGAAGAACTCAGATAAAAATCAACAACAATACCTATATAGTAGAAAGCAGATCGTGTAAGGACAGTCTACTTCCGAACACGTAACAAACATCATTTTACCTATATATTAGGGAGCGCATCGAGTAAGTTTGGTCGACTTCCGAACATTTAACA